TTTGGGAAGATGGTAGTCATCAGGAGTGTTCAAACATATTACCAGAAAGACATAGTTGTTGTTGATGACAAAGGTATAATACATGTGAAAAGAATTGTCACTTGCTTTTCTTGTAGATTAAAGTTGTCAAAATATATATGGAATACATACTAATTAATTAATAAATACAATAGGTAGGTCAAATAAGCTAGAAGTCGAGTGCACCTGCACGATAGGGGTTCGAACTTAGAACCTCAGTGTTGAGTTGATTGGCTAGTAATGACAGTAGTAACTACGTATACCTTTCTGCCTGCAGATTAGCAATAAAATATGACGAGTTTTTCAAAAAATGGTGTGACCTGTTCAATGAACCACATGGGGTTGACGATGAAAATGCATTTGAGGTCTTCACAGCTGTTATATCATATTTATTTAATGTGCCTTCTGATTATTTTAATCAAAGTTGCACATTCTAATTTCGAAAATGTTAAGCATTGACCAGTCATCAGCTACAAAAATGTTTGGCCTTTCTAAATTCAAACAACAGTCCATTAAGTATCGATTGAGACCATGTCGACCAATGAGGGTACAAATTGATTTTTCTTGACCCCTGATAAATTCTTCTTTACGAATCTTTAACCAAGATAATGTTTCTTCCTCCTTAATCAGAGCTTGGAAACTCGCAAACAACAACGGCCCATAGGAGACTTCCAGAACCTAACATATCTGATTTGCCTGTCCACTGATAAGTTTCGGGGACATAGTTGGAAAATTAACAGCAGATAGAGGGGTAGAGGAATTCTAAACATACGAATTCGGACTGTTCTATAATTCATCAATTTCTTAAGAATGAGTCAAGTGATTTTTGAAATACCAATAGAAACTACCGATAATCAACGGGTCATAATTGAATATTCTGACAAAACAAATTGACATTGCCATTTTAATGGCAATAGAATACTGCACTGAGATCCGAACTAGACCATTGCTATGCAGTCGACCTGCCAGGAATGCCAGTATGTAGTTTGAAAGATTTTAAATGTTCATGTGTAGGCGGAACACGTATTCTAAATATTTCTGTCGTCCTGAATATGCATGAAATATTTGCCACTGGACGTTAAGCAACCAACAATCAATCAATCTAAATATTTCTACATATCAATAAGATCAGAGTTAAGGTATTTGTATGCCTGAAGATGTGAATATCAGATATGTTCTGTACACGGTTATAATTTCATATTAAAGGTTTGGTGAGGAGTACCAGAACAGTTTAAAGTTAGTAAGTTCTTCCATTAGATCGAGAAATAAAAATAATTTTTAGTTGAACTCTCACGTGAAACAGATGATCCGAATGACAAAAACACAATAATCATCAGGGCAAACATTGATGGTCAGCATATCACCAAGGTAACAGCAGTAATGAAGAAAATAAAATTTGTAAAAATAACTGGCAAATACGTTACCTCGTGGTTTGCTAACAAATATTAGAAATGAACAAAGTTGCGAGGATATTTGTTACCACATCGATATAGCTGTTCAAGTTAAGTGAAGAAAATGAAGGCCAGATCCTCAAAAGAAAATTTAGAAGAAAGTTGATAGTCCTGCGATTAAACATTGCACCCTCAAATTGAAAACTCATATGACATTGAAATATTGTAACATGAAGTTAGATACTATAACCCGGCCTATAACAATAGGTAAATATTTTCTATAATCCATAAAAAAGTTTTCAATTTTCTATAAGTTCTGAGCTTATTTCCGTTTGTATGGTTTTGTATATTTAAGCTTCAATTGGACTACGGCCCATGGCCCCTGCCTTTCCCAATCACTGGTTCAGCCAGGAATGAATCATATCTAATTTTGGAGCCCTTCTTGTGTAAATGTGTTGATCAATATCACCAATACGAGGTGTAACATGTGTGTAATCATTCATTTTATTTTATTAAAGGGAGCCAAAGGTTTCAAATAACTATTACTAAACTTGTGCTAGAAGATTATAGGACAGCATGTATTTCGGAACCCTACCTCAAATTTGTCTGGTAATGATATTAAGTGATGGACAGGTTTGGTCACAACCTTCTTCATCCCCTGGATAGACTAGAGCTCATAGTAATGGTAAATGTTTTTTAGCAGACATTATATTTGTCATTTCAGACAGTGTAGGGCCAATGTGCGCTAAAGTTAAAATTCCGGCATTTACCAAGGGAGAAAGTAAGCCAATTTTACGTTTCAAATTGTTTACAGCCAGTACAAACAAATTTCAGATGACTTATGTTAATTCAAAATTAAAGGATATTGAGCTGCTTATAGAGGGAACAACGTACAAGGGCATCCCCTTTAACGACAAAATTCGGATTTGTAGTAACGATTACAATTCGAAAGTTGGCAGCAAAGCGTTGGACAATACAGTTGTCTTTGTGGAGTAGACTCCAAAACCCATATTTATTACAGTTTGTTTTACACACAAGTCATGCATTCTCGAGGAAAGACAAAAAATAATAATGCAGGGAAGAATTGTTTCAAAAAGTTAAAAGAAAGAAATCTCAATCAATATTGCGATAAAAGATGAACTTGAAGACATACGTGTTAATACACACACACATGGGGTAAACCACGGCTGCAACAAGAACTTAATGATATTTTGCATGGTATATCCCGTCCACAAGCTCTCATGACATCCGTCCAAAAGCACTCATTGCCACAAATTCAATTTTCTCAATATTGCATTTGTATCTATTTAAATTATTTAATAGATTTAGAATAAAAGCCTTTTTCAAACTGCAATTTTTAATAATTGCATAGATCGAAATGCATAAAACTAACATCAACACAAGATAACTATAGACTCAAATATCATTGTTACATACATAATTAATCAGGTTCTAATTCAGTCTTGCATTCCGATAACTAGTATTTAATGTAACTCGTGTTTTTATTTCTTTCACTTCTGTAGTCAGTTTGTACATGTAACCTTACTGCCAATCAACTACTCAGTTAATGTATCTTAAAATGTACTCAATTTGTTTTAAAAGGTATGACTAATACTGGTGATACATTTAATGAGGAGGAAATCCCATGGTGTGAACTTTTTGTTGAACATGTTAGCCCTTACTATGGATGGGTTTAAGACATAGACAGCTGGTACCATAGTGGAGGAATGTTCTCTGGCTACATCTACAACGTATGCAGTGATTCGATGTACCAAAAGTTTTGGAGATAGAGTCGGGTCCATTCCATTTATGGGCTGTTGTTTAATTAGTAAATGTAGCATGGCTGCATCCAGGCCTTATTTTTTGAATTGCAATATTCAAAGCCATTTTTAGAAAAATATTGACAATTTATTGTGATAAACTCGCATATTATGCACGAACACTTAGATAAAATGCAGGCAACAGGATGCTCTTCATGCCCTGACAGAAGGCAGTGACCGTACAATGAACAAGCAAACGTTGACTTTCAGTTCCCCTTTATTAGCTAGTGCTGATGAAGCTCATGACAATCCAATGTTACACGATCCATCTCCTCCTCCTATAAGTGGCCAGCGAGTACATGTACGTCGAGAAGGTAGATATATATGCAAAACATTTTTTTACATTCTATTAATTTTAGTTTTATTTTGTAGTATCTACTTGGATTGATACAAACGAGACAAACACAGCTGAGGTAATACACCTTCTTAGAGATCTGCAGAAAAATATGTGAGGAAATAGTTGAACCTGTCTTGTTTAGGGGTAATGAATATATTTTCTTTATACTGATTATAAATGTCTTCGTACGGCCTGCATCAATGAGCAAAACCCATACCGCATAATCAGCCACACCACTTTCAGCACTTTAAGCGATTCCTCAGTGTTGACAGGCTAATGAATAAGTAGTACGCCTACTATGACCACTTAGCAACTGAGGGAGGCCAGGTATTTATAAACACTTTTGGTGAAGTTTTATAATGTATACTGTAGAATAATCTTATCTTGCATACAAGTGCATATTTTGTAATTTGGTCAACACTTTTAACTTGTAGTACTAAATAACCAAACCGTCGTTGACTGCTCAATTACACTATTAATATATTTGACGTTGTTAGTACTGAAGTAAATTATTTTGTCGTCGTTAGTATTCAAAGTAATTTATTTTGTCGTAAGTACTTCGAAATGTCGTATTTTTAGATATTTATGGATATAAATTTGATGTATTTCAACCGTGTGCGTTGTACACGCATGCTTATACAACATCAACATCAATTTACTTGATTTACAGTTAGACAAGACTCTAGATGAGTGCCTATATTCTGATTGGCGGAAGTTATTAAATGCCGATAGTGCATTTATGTTATTATTATTACTCGATAAAATTATTTTTACGTTGTTAGTACTCAAGTAAATTATTTTGTCGTTGTTAGTATTCAAAGCAATTTATTTTGTCGGCAGTGTTCTCGGTTAGTTATTGAATAAGAGGAAGCCGGCAGGCGTTCTCGTTAAATGGAGTTCGGGTGTATTTCCCCCGAGAAAATTGTGAAAATCTAGGATGCAGGAGGTGGCATCAGGGCTGTTCTGCGTAGATTTTGACCTCTTATTCTTCATGTTAATTTGTCAATTTTTAGTAGCTCATTTAATTTTTGCAAAAAAATTGAAAATTTATGTTTTTTTTTTGGCAGATTTTCTACGGTGTGTAGAAATACCGCAAAGGATTTCTTAGTGCACTAAGAAGAAAGTATGATGTATGACGTGTTAACGTTGTTTTTCATAAAATAAACAAAACCAGGTTCTATACATAGACAAAACCGGGTCATTGTGTAGTAAACAACATTGACAAAACCGGGTGCTTCCAATTTGACATGACCTATTTCTTTCGTTCCATACGCAGAAATACAAGCATTGAGGTGCTCAAAAAGACTAGCTTTGCAATCTCCATGTCAATATCTTTCTTTCCGTACCATGTGAACAATTTGAGGAGAAATTAAACAAATTCGAGGCAAGGTTCACTCAATTCGTCATTATGGCGTGCATTTTTAGCCCGAAGGGCCAAGTGAGCTTTTCTCATCACTTGGCGTCCGTCGTCCGTCGTCGGCGTTAACTTTTTACATTTTGAACTTCTTCTAGAGAACCACTGAATGGAATGAAACCAAACATGGCATGAATGTTCCTTATGAGGTGCTGACCAAGTGTTGTTACTTTGTAGCCGATCCATCATCCAAGATGGCCGCCAGCGGGGGACTTAGTTTAACATAGGACCCTATGGGAAATGCATACAAATGACTTCTTTTAGAGAACCACTGAATGGAATGGAACCAAACATGGCATGAATGTCCCTTATGAGGTTCTGACCAAGTGTTGTTACTTTGCAGTCGGTCCATCATCCAAGATGTCCGCCAGCAGGGGACTTAGTTTAACATAGGACCCTATGGGAAATACATACAAATGTCTTCTTTTAGAGAACCACTGAATGGAATTGAACCAAACATGGCATGAATGTTCCTTATGAGGTGCTGACCAAGTGTTGTTACTTTGCAGTCGGTCCATCATCCAAGATGGCCGACAGCAGGGGACTTAGTTTAACAAAGGACCTATGGGAAATACATACAAATGTCTTCTTTTAGCGAACCACTGAATGGAATGAAACCAAACATGGCATGAATGTTCCTTATGAGGTACTGACCAAGTGTTGTTACTTTGCAGTCGGTCCATCATCCAAGATGGCCGCCAGCAGGGGACTTAGTTTAACATAGGACCCTATGGGAAATACATACAAATGTCTTCTTTTAGAGAACCACTGAATGGAATGGAACCAAACATGGCATGAATGTCCCTTATGAGGTTCTGACCAAGTGTTGTTACTTTGTAGCCGATTCATCATCCAAGATGGCCGCCAGCAGGGGACTTAGTTTAACATAGGACCCTATGGGAAATACATACAAATGTCTTCTTTTAGAGAACCACTGAATAGAATGAAACCAAACATGGCATGAATGTTCCTTATGAGGTGCTGACCAAGTGTTGTTACTTTGCAGTCGGTCCATCATCCAAGATGGCCGACAGCAGGGGACTAAGTTTAACAAAGGACCTATGGGAAATACATACAAATGTCTCCTTTTAGCGAACCACTGAATGGAATGAAACCAAACATGGCATGAATGTTCCTTATGAGGTACTGACCAAGTGTTGTTACTTTGCAGTCGGTCTATCATCCAAGATGGCCGACAGCAGGGGACTTAGTTTAACAAAGGACCTATGGGAAATACATACAAATGTCTTCTTTTAGAGAACCACTGAATGGAATTAAACCAAACATGGCATGAATGTTCCTTATGAGGTGCTGACCAAGTGTTGTTACTTTGCAGTCGGTCCATCATCCAAGATGGCCGACAGCAGGGGACTTAGTTTAACAAAGGACCTATGGGAAATACATACAAATGTCTTCTTTTAGCGAACCACTGAATGGAATGAAACCAAACATGGCATGAATGTTCCTTATGAGGTACTGACCAAGTGTTGTTACTTTGCAGTCGGTCCATCATCCAAGATGGCCGCCAGCAGGGGACTTAGTTTAACATAGGACCCTATGGGAAATACATACAAATGTCTTCTTTTAGAGAACCACTGAATGGAATGGAACCAAACATGGCATGAATGTCCCTTATGAGGTTCTGACCAAGTGTTGTTACTTTGTAGCCGATTCATCATCCAAGATGGCCGCCAGCAGGGGACTTAGTTTAACATAGGACCCTATGGGAAATACATACAAATGTCTTCTTTTAGAGAACCACTGAATAGAATGAAACCAAACATGGCATGAATGTTCCTTATGAGGTGCTGACCAAGTGTTGTTACTTTGCAGTCGGTCCATCATCCAAGATGGCCGACAGCAGGGGACTTAGTTTAACAAAGGACCTATGGGAAATACATACAAATGTCTCCTTTTAGCGAACCACTGAATGGAATGAAACCAAACATGGCATGAATGTTCCTTATGAGGTACTGACCAAGTGTTGTTACTTTGCAGTCGGTCTATCATCCAAGATGGCCGACAGCAGGGGACTTAGTTTAACAAAGGACCTATGGGAAATACATACAAATGTCTTCTTTTAGAGAACCACTGAATGGAATGAAACCAAACATGGCATGAATCTTCCTAATGAGATGCTGACCAAGTGTTGTTACTTTGTAGCCGATCCATCATCCAAGATGGCCGACAGCGGGGACTTAGTTTAACATAGGACCCTATGGGAAATACATACAATTGTCTTCTTTTAGAGAACCACTGAATGGAATTGAACCAAACATGGTATGAATGTTCCTTATGAGTTGCTGACCAAGTGTTGTTACTTTGCAGTCGATCCATCATCCAAGATGGCCGCCAGCAGGGGGACTTAGTTTAACATAGGACCCTATGGGAAATGCATACAAATGACTTCTTTTAGAGAACCACTGAATGGAATGAAACCAAACATGGCATGAATGTTCCTTATCAGGTGCTCACCAAGTGTTGTTACTTTGTAGCGGATCCATCATCCAAGATGGCCGCCAGCGGGGGACTTAGTTTAACATAGGACCCTATGGGAAATGCATACAAATGACTTCTTTTAGAGAACCACTGAATGGAATAAAACCAAACATGGCATGAATGTTCCTTATGAGGTGCTGACCAAGTGTTGTTACTTTGTAGCCGATCCATCATCCAAGATGGCCGCCATCGGGGAACTTAGTTTAACATAGGACCCTATGGGAAATACATACACATGTCTTCTTTTAGAGTACCAGTGAATGGAATGAAACCAAACATGGCATGAATGTTCCTTATGAAGTGCTGACCAAGTGTTGCTACTTTGTTGCCGATTTACTGTTCAAGATGGCCACCAGGATATTTTATTAAATAACAGGACCAATATTAATCAAAATTTGGCCTCAATCATTATTTGGGTATCTGTTATGATTTTTATCTATCTTTACATGATTTCTAAAACCAAAGTAGAGTCAGGTGAGCGACACAGGCTCTTGAGAGCCTCTAGTTTACTTATTTCTCCGTTAATCTAGAACGGTTGTAGAAAATATAACATCTTACAATAGAAAATAGTAATATATGAATATATATTCTTCGATATCATAAAAATAACAAATAAATAAACAGAAAACTACCTTTTCTCTGTCTATTGATGTTCCGTCACCGTGCCGGATATTAGATACCATCGAGTCCAAACATTTTTTGCCGGGGTAGTTTAGACACAGTGCATGTAGACAATGTAAATAAAGCAATCAACTATCAATGAGTCCTTTATCCATTTGAATTCATCCACCCATTTTGTAAAGAGTTTACGTTTTGTTTTCCTCTTCATATTTGTTTTGTTATTCAGACCTGTTGACATTGGATTCTTGAAAAAAAAAATTAGGGGACATTATTGACTTGAAACTTCCTTTTTGCCGTATGTTTTTTATTTCTATTTTAATTTTTGGTTCCAACAAAAAGTCGTTTGCGATTGAACCACTTACACCAAATAATGATCCATTGAATTATGTAGCGGGAGTATCAGTCCCCTTGCCTAAATTCAGAAAGACTCGCTGGACAATCTGTCAGTGAGAATATTACCAGATATAGTGAATTTGAAAGTGAAAAGAATTTTTCAATTAATTATTATTATTTGGAGGTTGTAGATTGTGAAATACAATTTGTATGAATGATATGCATGACCTAAATCAAGAAACGTGTTTCGTCTATACATTGATTGATTGATTGTTGGTTGCTTAACGTCCAGTGGCAAATATTTCATGCATATTCAGGACGAGAACAAGTTCACAATAAATACAATAGGTAGGATCTGTAATAGATTAAGGGATTAAGGTCGGAGAAATTTAGACTGCCACGGGAAATGAGGGTATATTGGATAGGAACATAAATTTAGCCTTGCAACAGGTCACCTACGGACCCCTCAAAGAGTTGTTGCAAGGGTTCTTAACGTGCAAAGAGCGTGGCACTCTCTTTACACGAGGCATCGGATTTAACGTCCCCATTCTGACCGGACGTGGCTGCAAATTTGTACATCCCGCACAGCCAAACGGACGCCCCACTTTAGCACGGGTTTTACTGCCGGTCGGAGGAAGACCAATGGTGACCATACTTCTATACCCCAGTCACCCTTGGGGTGTCGTCTATACAAGACTCGTCAGTGACACTCAAATCAAAATAATTGTAAGGCCAATTATAGTAGAAACTAACAGAACATTGAGGACCCATAATGTTATAGAAAATATTTCAAATTTATTATGAGTTTCTTTTACCAGTACTTTCTTTGCATGATATTTCAGATAGAAACCAGGACAATCAAAAGTAGGACCATCCAAAACAACGATCTAGATAATCGGACTATTTTGTGGGTTATTGATATCGTTTCATAATAATCGACCAGCGGGGCATGATTCAAATTATCCCATGTATTGAAACAAAGAACAATATGTCAGCCATTTTGAAGACTATGGGAATGTCAGTCAAGTCTTCCTGGTGATAAGATATGATTCGACAACTTTATTTAGTTAATCAAAAGAACATTGAGAAAAATCAACACTAAGTGGTCCGGTTGTTTCTCCTGCACCAGCCCCAAGGGTGACTGGGGAATAGAAGTATGGTCACCATTGGTCTTCCTCCGACCGGCAGTAAAACCCTTGCTAAAGTGGGGCGTCCGTTTGGCTGTGCGGGATGTACAAATTTGCAGCCACGTCCGGTCAGAATGGGGACGTTAAATCCGATGCCTCGTGTAAAGAGAGTGCCACGCTCTTTGCACGTTAAGAACCCTTGCAACAACTCTTTGGGGGGTCCGTAGGTGACCTGTTGCAAGGCTAAATTTCTGTCCCTATCCAATATACCCTCATTTCCCGTGGCAGTCTAAATTTCTCCGACCTTAATCCCGGACGCCCCTATTACAGAACCTACCTATTGTATTTATTGTTAATTTGTTCTCGTCCTGAATATGCATGAAATATTTGCCACTGGACGTTAAGCAACCATCAATCAATCAATCTCCTGCACCAAAAAATAGCAATATTAAATAGCAGATGTATAGGGGACAGTCTATGCTACTATACTTATAAGTCAATAAATGAATACAGTGCTGTAGATTATGCATTATTAAGCGAAAGTCTCCTGTCCTCAGTGAAATATTTTAAAACTGATAATTTCAGGTGGGAGAAGAGAAAATATATCGCTGCATAGTATTTTAATGTTTGCAACTGGAGCTGATGAAGAACCAATTCTTGGACTTGCAGAAGGCCCAGAGATCTGTTTTTCTGAGAGTGAAACATATAATTCTTTTCTGTCTACTTCAAACGCCTGTATTAATAGACTTACTTTACCAATTCCGTCAGCAGTAAAGGATTTACCAACAAATGAAATCTTATTCCGCTTATATGACTTAGCCTTTGCCAATACTTATTAAAGATTCAGTTGAACATATTATTTTCACATTTTGTATGTGATCATTCAGTTCAAATGATGTGAGCCTGCAGTGCGACTGTAACAAATTTTGTGGGTTCGTATAATGCTATGATGTCGTTCTGCGTCGTCTTCGTCCGAAGACACATTTGGTTTCTGGACAATAACTTGTTTCAGTGAATGGATCGGTTGTGATCGATTATGGGGGTTATGGTACCAACAGTTTAGAAATTTGGAGCCAAAAACAAGCATTTTGATAGTTTCCGCACAATAACTTGTTTGTAAGTGTATAGATCTCTCTGACATTGTACCACAAAGGAAGGCTAGGGTATATTTTTTGTTGGGGGGGAAATTACCCCAAACGTGCAGGAATTGGGTGCAAAAAAAAAAGAGGCCAAAAACGATAATTTTTTCAGTTTCAAGTCAATAACATGTGTTTAAGTGTATGGATCTCTCTAAAATTGACTATGAGGTTCCGTACTACAACGGGAAGGCTGGGATTAAGTTTGGGGGTAATTGCTTCCAAACAAAGGGGGAGGGGAATTTTTTCAAATTTTCAAAAAGGGCTTACTTTTTTTTATACTTTTAGATTCCAAATGTTTTTTTAAATTATAAGAAATCTTCAATTGAACAGTCTTCTGCAATACATTTTTAAGATCTCTGACTTAAAATAGAACATAGGGGAAAAATGCAGTTTTTGACATGTATCTCTGAAACTAGAGCAAAAGTATAACGCTTGTATTATTTCATGCATCTAATGTATATAAAAATAGCATGTGAGCGACGCAGGCTCCTTGGAGCCATTAGTTATAGTAGTGGCCATCAATTTGTAAAGATAACTTAAAACCATTTATATGTCATGAAAATTTGTGACGTTATCCAATGAAAATGAAAATTACAAGCAACGTTGTATTAGAATTAAAATCTGTCATTCCTCGTCTGTGCTTGTGGATATGTGTTCATAGCATGAATATTAGTGACGTTATCCATTTAAAATAAACGTTACAAACAATGTTGCATTATAATAGATAACTGTATCAAATAAACAAATAGAATTATGTATGTTCATGATATACATGATATATGTAAAGAGCACTTTTGTTGGAATAAGAGCGTCAATAAATAGGTAATTACGAGCAGCACCATAATACAACAAATCATTCTCTCTTTTCTAACCAAATGTTTACGGCTATGATAAAGAAATTGCAGAGGGAAGGTCTTGATCTCACAAAGCGTCATCTATCACTCTCAGATGGAGACCTTTAAAAGCTAAATTATCAGGTGTGCTCTCTAACAAAAATCCTAAAGCACTACTATGTAAGGTGTGGTCCGACATTATGCTTGGTTTTGGACGCCGTTACTACATAAGGGGTTGGTAGGGAACCCCCATCAACATATATGGTATCCTATATCTATAGATACCATGTCTATTTATAGTATGGTATCTATTCTATTTATAGTATATGGTATATATCCTATATAAAATACATATATGGTATCCTGTATAAAATACCCAAATCTATTTATAGTATGAATTCTATTGTGGAGGGTACACCCTTTATTCATAGTATGGTATCCTATATAAAGAAATACCCAATTTATTTATAGTATGGTACCCTAGGGGGTACTATACATGACACCTATGTAATATCTAAAGTTAACAAATAAAGAATGTTTATCATAATAAGCATAATGACTATTAACGATAAACATTAAATATTTGATTTACATAAAACGTAGACACTGTATATAGAAGATGTGTTGAATAGAAAATTACCGAGTCTATTGAAATAACATACAAAAGAAAGTTATTTATTGCGTGTCCTTTATTGAACATTATATACTCATACGGTCGACATGTCTGTTCAAGGGGCTAACTGTGATGAACTCAGTATAAACATAGATATAGAGTTTAAGGGATCCTTATTCACACTTTCCAACAGCAATTCCTTGTATTACCGATTTAAAACACAAAGGAAAATTCTAAAATGGACTGGAACGTTCGTCATTATTGTGATGAGTGCACTAGCCTTAACGATTACAGAAATTTCTTATAATAAAAAGGAGATCGATCTACAACCAGACTGTATCAAACTACATCATTCAGAACAGGTGCACAAATACAACCATAGTCTTTGTGATTTTATCAAACAATTCGAAATACCCGATACCTATTATGTTACAATATGTCTTTATCAGGACGAAATCATTGTTGATATTCGTCAATTCATCAACGGAAAGGAAACTATCAAAGGGGTTCAAATAAATACACGTCAGTGGAACTATATTCAACAGATAATACCATATACTAACAAAGCAATTGATGAGGCCTTAAATCAGAAAAAAATACGGGATGCTATATTATAATACCTAACTGGTATTTCTCGGTATCTATGTTTTTTACACCTGATACCCGACTAAAAAGAATATAAAACGAATCGTCCTTGATGATATCAGTCTCCAGATTTATGAACGCATTGTTTCAACTTTATTTAATGATTGCATAATCAATCCAGGAAGATTATTAACACTGTATGTTTTCACAAGGAAGCTGTGTCGTCAGAATCCAACGTATGCAGAAAGATTG